CCTGCCTATAATATATAAAATTTACACAAGTCCCCTTTATTTTCAATTTTAAGACATGAATTTCAAATTATTGCCCATCTTCTCTAATTTTTTTTCTTCTAATGATTCCCTCCAGAAAACAAACAATTCTAATTATATTATATATAATAAAATGGTTGTAAGGTTTGTCCTAAAAATAAGTGTTAATTTGAGATTTGATTTTTAATTGTGTTAAAATAATATTTAGTCAATCAAAATTATATGTCACGAGTATAAATTAATTTTTAATTATTAATTCTGAGACACAATATAGATCACCATGTCCATGAACTAAAAAAATATAGATGTTATCTCTGAGGACCTGACAATTTTTTAAGCTAGGAATAGTCACTAGAAGTTCACAACTGTAAGCTGCAGATGAATCTTAATTCTTCCTATTCAATTTCACATAAAGAATTGGGATTATCATATCACTCAAATTAGTCCAATGATTAGGAAAAGGGAATGAGATAGTAGGAGGAGGACCTAAATACAAAATCTTCATCGTATCTTTATAAATCTCACTACTAGAAAAGTGTTATTTTTCTGCAAATTTTTCTGAAAAAAAATATTTGTAGAAAGTTTTTGCGAAATTTCCTGCAAATAAATATTCACAGAAATTTTTTATGAATTTTCCTGCAAAAATAATTTACAGATATTTCTTACAAATTTTGCTACAATTTTAATAAACATAGAAAAAAAATTTCCATGGTAAAAATTTACAAAAAATATTGTAAGAATTTTATTTTTTTTCTTGCAGATTTTCTTGCAAAAATAAATTCGCAAGTAATGTTTACTAAATGGTAGAAAAAATTTGTAGGTAACTTTTCTTGCGAATTTTCCTGCCAATTTTAATTCACAGGAAAAATAAAAAAAAATTAAATTCATAAGTTTAATATTTTAAAAAATCTTCAAGTCTCATATCAAATGAAAATAACATAATAAAAGAATATATAGGTTGGGGCAACACTTACCTTACAAGTTGAATTGTATGGTTGAGTGTTAGACTTATAATATACAATCTTAGAATTTAAAAGATTATGTATGAAGCATGAAAATAAAACATTATGAATTCTTAAAATATATAATTTATAGTAATTTTTTAAATTTTTTCGTAAAAAATATTCCTACAGAATTTCTTGCGAAAAATTCGCAGGAAAATTTCCTGCGAATTTTTTTTGCAGGAAAATTTCCTGCAATTTTATTTTGTAGGAAAATTTCCTGCAAATTTTTCTATAGATTTTTTTTTGCAGGAAAATTTCTTGAAATTTTTTTTTTGCAGGAAAATTTCCTGTGAATTTTTGTCGCAATAAATTTCGCAGGAAAATTTCCTGCGAATTTTAAAATTCGCAAAAATATATTATCTACGAAGGTATTACCTGCAAATAAAATTTCACAGAAAATTTCACAGAAAATAAAAATTTGCAGGAAAAATCGTATGTAATAAAAGAAATTCTAGTAGTGTCTTCTTATGGATTAAGAAAAAAGAATTGGAATTATTAATTAGGGATAGGGATTTAACTGTCTAAGGAATTGAGATAAAAATAAATTAGAGAAATTTAGAGATAAAAAAAATTAAATTAAAAAAAATTCAACTTACAAATTATAGGTGAACTGGAATGAACTATAACCAAACACTTT